GATTCAATCTGAGTTGATCACTGGGACTAAAAAATTATTCTTCCAAGCTTTTGGGCTTTTCCTGGAGCCCATCATCAGGAGAAGTTCCCTGATAATGAGGTCTAGCAGGAGCCCAAAAGCTTGAAATATTAAACCTTTGCTCCCAATGACCAACTCAGATTGAATCCTGCAATGTTGTCATTTTTCAAGTATCACCCTTGAAGAGTTACATTTAAATAAATACATGCAAATTAATGAACAATCTGTCAGAATAGAGCTGGAAGGGACTTTGGAGGTCTTCTAGTCCAACCCCCTGCCCAAGTAGAAGACCTATACAAGTGGCACGCTTAACCATATTGGTGGGCACATGAGGTCAGTGGGACTGGAAGTTGGCAAACGGGCCATTTTCGGCCTTTAGGGGGCCTCTGGGGGGATGGGAAGGCCGTTTTCGCCCTCCCCACACTCCTAGAAAGGCTCTAGAGGCTGGGGAGAGCAAAAAATGGGCCTACTGTGCCATCGCATGCCAGGAGCGTGGGGAGCATGGGGGGGGGTCGCGCGCAAGCGTGGTGGCAGGGCGCATAGAATTATGGGTGTGGGCAGATGCGCGCAAGCCCCCTCCCCCCCGCTCCTGACACACAATGGCAAAAAGGTTAGCCATCACTGCCCTATACAATTTGAGACAAGTGGTTGTCCAGTTTCTTCTTAAAAACCTCCAGTAATGAAGCACCCACAACGTCTGAAGGCAAAGCTGTCCCACTGGTTAATTGTTCTCACAGTTAGAAAGTTTCTCTTTAATTCCAGGCTGCTTCTCTCTTTGATTAGTTTCCATCCATTGTTTCTTGTCTTGCTTTCTGCTGCTTTGGAAAATAAGTTGAGCAATATAAAAAAGTTAACAAACTGATAATTCAAGAAAGCATAGGTCTCCATTAGTATAAAAGTAGAAATGAATCTACCCAAACATCTGTAAAACTCACAATGGTTTCTCCTTCTTCTTTGCCTTTAGCATCCTGACTGGTTGCGCATCTTTTCATTATTTCACAGAATAAAAACCACTGCATGAAACCAGTCCCAAACTCTTGACCTTTGAATTAAAATGTGACAGGAACATCTTGAAACTCTGAATGAACGCATGTGGAGGTTCAGATGAGCTAATTAAATTTGTCAGCATAGATAGGATAAACATTTTTGTGGTTTAAAAGGTCACAGAAGGGAATATAAGCAAAATCATCAAACAAGTAACTAACAAGATTCCCTTAAACTGAAAGACCGACTGGAGTTAACAGGTTCAAAATATAATTATCTAGACAATGGTTGGAAACTCAGGATAGGTGAGAGCTGGTCTATTTTTTTGCTCAGTATCTCATTATCTCTATTCCACAAGGTCAGTGATTTGTTCAGTGATGGATTTCAAATTTTTTTACTACCGGTTCTGTGGGTATGGCTTGGTGGGCATGGATTGGTGGGCGTGGCAGGGGAAGGATACTATAAAATCTCCATTCCCTCCCCACTTCAGGGGAAGGTTACTGCAAAATTCCCATTTCCTCCCGATCAGCTGGGACTCGGGAGGCAGAGAATAGATGGGGGCAGGGTCAGTCAGAGGTGGTATTTACCGGTTTTCCAGAACTGGTCAGAACCTGCTGAAACCCACCTCTGGATTTGTTATATTTTTTATTTTTTATTTGATTTATATGCCGCCCTTCTCCAGAGACTCAGGGCGGCTTACAATGCGCTAAGCAATAGCCTTCATCCTTTTTGTATATTTATACAAAGTCAGCTTATTGCCCCCACAACTGGGTCCTCAATTTACCTACCTTAGAAAGGATGGAAGGCTGAGTCAACCTTGAGCCTGGCGAGATTCGAACCTGCAGTAATTGCAGGCAGCTGGTCTTAATAACAGGGTGCTTTAGACCACTGTACTACCAAGGCTCTTTTATTGTTTTATTGTTTATATTGTTGATCATATTGTAGTGAAATGCACAGAACCAACTCTGATCTTAAGTAATGAGCATATAATAGTAAAAATAAAAACATTCTCAAATCCACGATGTCCTAACTTCACCACCCGCATTTACATGGACTTCCCATGACAAACATATTTGCAGTATTACTGTAGGTATGCCAATACAGATTTAAGTGTGATCAGTGTTCAGAGGAAAATTAGCCCGCTGAACCCCATCATGTGGACCTGCTGCCTCTCTCATTGGCCAAAAAAGCAGCTGCATAATTGGGGATTTTCATTCTTCTTACAGTTAATAGGATCTTTGGAGCTCAAAAACATCATCCCATCAAGATAAACGTCTTGGGTGCCCACTTTTAAGCAATCTGAATTCAATTAGGCTAATTAGAAAACAAGTAAAGAAGGATTGCATTAATGTAGCTTTACTGGGCGAAACTCAGAAATCTTTTATGAGACAAGCAGGAGGAAGAAAGAGGAGGGAAGCGATGCATTTTATAAATCACTGCAGTTTATTCACAAATGCCAGAAACCCAGCGACTTATTTAAATGCTTGCTCTTGTTGTAAAGTAGATGATTATGTCTTCAAATAACAGATCTCATTAGAAGACTTAACATTTAAGAAAAGTATGAAGAAGAGCGAGAGCCTTCAGATAGCTAGGTTACAGACTAACGCTTTCATTTTTTTTCTCCCTGGAAACTGACTGGGAAAACAAGTGGAATTTTTAGATGTGAGCAAGTTTGGTGCCTGTTGTCCATTACTATTTTTGAATACCTTGTCATCTCCATTCCAAACCAATCCTATAGATCTCTAGGAAGTGTGCAAGATTCTGTTTGGCATCAGATTCACTATATATTGACTATAGAGTCCTGTCCCCTCTAGCTAGTCAGGGTGACCAGGGAAGGGACAGGAATCTCCAAGTAGCCAGTAATACTCCATGAACAAAAGGAAAGGTCTAACAGTTATGAAATAGGTGCTAGTCTGCCTGTTCTTCAAGAGACCACCCTTTGATCCAACATTGAAGAAGGTATGCAGTAAGGGTAAAGCATGAGCTTTATTGAGAAACCCAGAAAGCAGGAGAAAGAAACTTAAGGTTGCCTCACCTTGACTCTTTTTGGTATAAGAGAGCGGTGGGGGAGCTATCAGACCTTCAAGACTGTGTTATTATAATCCAGGGGTTCTCTAGAACCGGTAGCGGAAATTTTGAGTAGTTCGGAGAACCGGCAAATACCACCTCTGGCTGGCCCCAGAGTGGGGTGGGAATGGAGATTTTGCAATATCCTTCCCCCAGGAGTGGGGAGGGAATGGGGATTTTGCAGTATCCTTTCCCTGAAACACCCACCAAGCCACACCACGCCCACCAAGCCACGCCCACAGAACAGGTAGTAAAAAAGATTGAATTCCACCACTGTTATAATCTATATATCAATATATTAGGCCTGTGATATTTCTTGCAATCTGTTTTCTAATCTGGCTATCATGAAGAGCTTGGAATCTGGAGATCTTTCTGAATTCAACTCGGATTCAATTCCTGATAGAAGAAACGGGTGGAAGTCACAGGCAGGAAGGCCTTTGCCCGGGTCCAGGGTATATCAGTTACAATTGTGGTCTCCAACCCCTAATCTATGGAATGGCACCAGTCCATGGAATGCCAGCAACTGGGCCACACAAACAAGCAAAGCCCCATTCCCGGGATGCAAGCAGCATGCTAAACCACACCCCCTCCAGTCTGTGGAAAAACCTTTCTCTATGGAACCATTCCCTGGTGCCCAAAAGGTTGGGGGCCATTGGGTTACAGCATTTTTCGGAATTAGATTTACTGAGAACAGACACGCATCTCTCATCGTCTCTCATTTGAATTACTGTGATGGTACTTTCATGGGGTTGCCATCAGACACCACTTAGAAACTTCAGTCAGTGCAAAATGAAATGATCCATGTCAATAATACCATGTCACACCACTGCTGTGGGAATGAATTTGTTCTTCTTCTTTTTGTGCCATATCCGTTATCAGATGTTGGCGATTATGTTGGCAAATGTATTGGTTACTGGTGTATGTATATATGTATATATATATATTCTTTTCTTTTCGTAGGCCTTTATGTGTATTTCTCTTTAGCCAGGTTCTTCCTACGTAAACTAAGATTTTTATGCAGCCCTAGTTCAATGAAATCACAATCTAGTTTCTAGGCTTTTTTCAGGCAGCCAGCAAGCACCCCAATGGGCAGCAGGGTGCTTGCTGGCTGCCTGAAAAAAGCCTAGAAACTAGTGGATTGGGATTTCACTGAACTAGGGCTGCATAAAAATCTTGGTTTACGTAGAAAGAACCTGGCTAAAGAGAAATACACACACACACACACACACACACACACACAACACACACACACACACACATATATATATAATTTGTGTGTGTGTGTGTGTGTAAATGCAACTGCTTGAGGGCTCCTGGATTGGAGCTGAAAGGCGAAAGGGATGCAGTATGCTCCCTCCCACATGCTTGGGTAGACCAGGTGCCTCGAATAGAAAAACACTTTATATATATATTTTATTTTAATACAAACAATCCATCTTCCATTAAACAATGTGTCATCTGGGTACAAATGTCTTGTGCAATAACAATTAAAATTTACAGCCATATTATTTGTCTACTCTTAATACTGATATACATAGCAGGTTACTGGTGTATTTCTAAAGGGAATTCAAAGAATCCCAGAATTTGGTGAGACCACAAAATAGACAAAATAACAGAAAATGAAGATGCTAAAATGCCCAGGGACTTTAGAATACAAACAGATAAGCTTCTGCCCCATAGGCGCCCCAGAGATAACAATTTTCGATAATGAAGACAAAAAGGTCTAGATAATAGACATTGCCACCAGTTCTTCCTTGCGGGCAAGCGGTATTGCTTGCAGATCTTCCAGTCCACGATTACTGCTACTTTGTCATGCTGTTTGTAAGCAGTCTGTGAGATCTTGTGTCAGCAGCTAACTGTGTGATCCAATTTCTTCAGCTTCTTTGCAGAGACAGCATTTGCCATCTGTTGCTGTCATCTCAATTCTGGCATTTTTCTTCTTATTTTTATTGCTTAACTGGCCAAAATCTCTGCAAATTGATGGAGCGTAAAAGAGTTTAGAATTCTTATATAAAATTGTGCAAAACGATGGTTAGGAACATCGACATTTCAATGGGCTTTCTTGATCTCACAACATTTCATCCATTTATATTATAAATATGTTTGTGTTGATATGTATCTATACCCAGACTGACATACACACTTTTCATTATATGGATACCGTGTAACAAAAATACATGGTAAAATCAGAGGGTTGCTAACCGATGGCTTTTGCAGTGATCCTCAAAAAGTTTCCAGAGCTGATAAAATAATTTGCAAAAAGGAGACTGGAAAGCACTAATTAAGCTTTTGGACTGAGAGGGCACAGAAATGTTTGCATAGATGCAGATACAGAGTGACATGATGATGTAGATATATGTATTCACACTTGTGGGTTTTATTTTACTTTATTTCTAATTAGACTTTCATGGCAGCTCAGTTGGAAAGATTCAGAGCAGATTATATTAAGAACACCATAAAAACAGGCTTAGGTAGCCCAAGCTACCCAATTAGGACCAAACACACTCATTAGGCACAATGTGCTGACTGTCGAGGGAGGGGGAAAGGGTGCCAAAACCTGGGAAATGGGGAATAAACTGAGATACCTTGGAAGAAGCCTGCTAAACCCACTGCAGCAATGCAAAGAAACATCCCACACTGCAAAAGTTGGTTGCAGCTTCGTCTAAAAAAAAAAAAATTCTAAACCAACCGTTCCTATCTACCATCTCCTCCCACGTATGACTGTAACTTGCTGCTATCCTTACGTTTTATATTGATTGTTTCCTAGTATGATTTGATTGCTTATTTGTACCCTATGACTATCATTAAGTGTTGCACCTTATGATTCTTGACAAATGTATCTTCTCTTTTTATGTACACTGAGAGCATATGCACCAAGACAAATTCCTTGTGTGTCCAATCACACTTGGCCAATAAAGAATTCTATCTATCTATCTATCTATCTATCTATCTATCTATCTATCTATCTATCATCTATCTATCTATCTATCTATCTATCTATCTATCTATCTATCTACTTACCTACCTATCAGTCAATCTATCTATCTACTTACCTACCTACCTACCTACCTATCCACTTATCTATCTATCTATCTACTTAACTATCTATCTATCTATCTATCTATCTATCTATCTATCTATCTATCTATCATCTATCACTGTCTTCTATCTACCTTCCTACCTACCTACCTACTTATCTAGCTATCCCAGCTGTGCATAAATCAGAAAATCAAGAATGTTTCCTGCTTCCCACCAGAAAGAGGAAGCAAGTGGCAGCAGGAAAAAAAAAAAGCAGGATTTTGCAGAAGCAGGAACTGAAGATGGAGGAGAGACGGTGAATCTTTTTAGGAGTAGCCTAAAAAAGAAAACACAGGGGCAAGAAAAAACAGGACAAAAATCTAGCACAAGTGATGAAGATATCAGGAATTTTTCCAAGTTCTTCAAATCAGGAGCTGGGTGGCATTGGTAGAATGCCTTTAAAAAAAAAAAAGAAAGGGGAAAAAAAAACCAGAGTTGAAAAGACAACATATTAGGAACATTGTACCAGCTATTCACAGGCACTACTGGGTTCCCCAAATTACACAGCAACTGGGATGGGGCACAATGCTCCCCAGCTGGAGGCTTTGAGCATCCGTGGTTGCCACTACAATGTGGATGACCTGCTGTTTGAAACCAGCACAAAAGGCATCCCCAGGACTTACTGGTTCGATCCCGCCCTCCCCTTTTTCAAAGCAACCAGCTCTTTTCTCTTTTTTCCTCCCATAATAAAAACAGACTTGCCCAGCAATACTAGGAAAAGCAGGGCAACCGGTGGGAAGAATTAATTGATGGAAACAAAGCCTATTAGTCCTTTAACCACATGTGGGCAGAAGCTTAGGGGAAATACTGCCAATCTTGGTTTAGGAGAAGATCAGCCAGGCTGGGATTTTCAGGTTAAAACGACCTCCCTGCCAGCCTCCAGCAGCAGTTTGTTGTTTACATGAGTTTCACTTTATGTAGTTTACTTTTTTTACATTCAGTTTTCTCCCCTCAGTTTTCTTAGTTGCCCTGAGGAGAAAACCAAGATGCATATCCAATTATTTCCATCCTTTTTCCTGATAGCAAAGCAAAAGCCTTTCTCTGCTATTTTCCTGACATCAAGATAGACTGCCCCAAATGTGGAGGTTCTATTACTTGATTTTAAAAGGAATTAGGCATCACTTTCTGTCCATCTGGATCTACAAGGGATGTAGGCGTTATATCTTTGTGAGTGAGATTTGTCTGGGCTTGGAATTTAAACAGAGCTAGTTCTAGTTGGATGGAAACTTGCCAAGGATTCCAGGTCCATGAACCAGACTAGGAGAAATCATTTTGGTGTTTTGCAAAAAAAAAAAAAAAAAAAAGGTATATTAAGCGTGTTTATGTAGTCGCCAAAAATTAGGTTTAATTCAAAGGAGTTGTACATCATACAGAGAGACGCATAATTCTGCAGCATTTTATCAATCTAGATCAGGGGTTTCCAAACTTGACAACTTTAAGACTTATGGACTTCAACTTCCAGAATTCCTCAGCCAGCCATTTAAAGTGGTCAGGTCTTGGAGACCCCTAGATGGACAGAATATGGTGCCTTATCACTTTTTAATCATAAGAACATGTCAAGCAATAGGACCTTCTATGGGACAGTCTGTCTGAATGTTAGGTGCCTGACGTACTATATCAGGCCTACATCCCTTTGAAAAGTAATTTGGAAGGAGTGATTCACAATTTGTTATTAGAAGTATAGAGTTAGAATAGAATAGAATAGAATAGAATAGAATAGAATAGAATAGAATAGAATAGAATAGAATAGAATAGAACAGAACAGAATAGAATATGGGGGATGGAATAGAATTTTTTATTGGCCAAGTGTGATTGGACACCCAAGGAATTTGTCTTTGGTGCATATGCTCTCAGTGTACATAAAAAGACAAGATACATTTGTCAAGAATCATAAGGTACAACACTTAATGATAGTCATAGGGTACACATAAGCAATCAAATCATACTAGAAGGATCATCAACGTCATCTATTCACCTCTACACACCCAAGAAATTTTGGGGACCAAAGTCCACACACCTTAAAGCTGCCAAGGTTAAGAAACACAATCTAAGAGTTTCTTGAAAAATGATCATTCAATCTTGAAGACTTCCAATGAAGAAAAGCTCATGCACCTTATGGGCCAGCTAGTTCCACCAGCTTGTATATAGCTCATAGGATCAAGTAAGTTCCTCCTGAGGTCTAGCTCCCTGCTAAACAATAGGGGTTTGAAGCTGTAGTCCTTTAATTACATTCTCAATGGAAAGAGATCTGCCAGATAATTAAATGACTTCTCAAGGCTATCCCTATGCTTGATATTTCATAAGAACCTCAGAAGGAAAATGTTGAAAAAGTCTGGTCCAAAGAGTAGTGTTCCACAGTATAATATGACTGAAGAAAAGCAAACTCAGTTTTAAAAGGTTTCCCTCGCACATATGTGCTAGTTGTTCCCGACTCTAGGGGGCGGTGCTCATCACCGTTTCAAAGCCGAGGAGCCAGCGCTGTCCAAAGACGTCTCCGTGGTCATGTGGCCAGCATGACTAAATGCCAAAGGTGCACGGAACGCTGTTACCTTCCCACCAAAGGTGGTCCCTATTTTTTCTACTTGCATTTTTTACGTGCTTTTGAACTGCTAGGTTGGCAGAAGCTGAGACAAGTAACGGGAGCTCACCCCGTTACGTGGCACTAGGGATTCAAACCGCTGAACTGCCGACCTTTCGATCGACAAGCTCAGCGTCTTAGCCACTGAGTCACTGTGTCCCCCCCAAAAAAACTCAGTTTGGGTAGGTTAATAGAAGTATGATTTCTAAATGACACACACACACACAAAAATAGCTCTCTTCTGCTTTACACTGGCCAGATCCTATCGCACATATTCTGCCTGTTTAAGAAAGAATGAAGTAGAGAATATGGGAAAATTGTGAGAAATGGCAAAGAGGGTAACTGGGGAGAAGACCAAAAGTGAAGGAGATTATTGTACTTTTATATAAGAGCCTTGGTGGCGCAGCAGACTAAAGTCCTGTTAAGTAGCACCAGCTGCCTGCAATTACTGCAAGTTCAAATCTCACCAGGCTCAAGATTGACTCAGCCTTCCATCCTTTCGAGGTAGGTAAAATGAGGACCTGGTTTGTGGGGGCAATAAGCTGACTTTGTATAAAAAAGAACACCGCTTGGGGGGGGCGAAAGCCCTACTAAGCAGGTATATACAAAAGGTATGAAGGCTATTGCTTAACGCATTGTAAGCCGCCCTGAGTCTCTGGAGAAGGGCGGCATATAAATCGAACCAATAAATAAATAAATACAATAAATAAATAATCCGTGGACAGAAACTCCCCCCCTCCCAATCCCTCCTCAGAAGTAGGGCAATACCTGTCCTAGCATTCCCGAATGGAAGACATAGAATCAGGAGTTTTCACAGGGAAGGAGTAAAAAGAGACCTGTTTATATATGGGTTCCTTTTTATCCAGTTTTTAAAATTAATTTTAAATTAATCTGGGGCCCTTGGTTGCTCCCAGAGCTTGGTTGTTCGATTGGAGACATTTCCTTACCAAACTAGGTAGCATCATCAGCGCTAATTTTTAATGCTGACTGTTTTTAACCTTCTAAACTTTTTAAACTGTTCTGTTGTTGTTTTATGAGGTTGTAGGCCCACCTAGAGTGAAATGGGTCACCTATACATTTAATAAATAAATAAAATAAGGAAATAAGGAAATAATAAAAATGGTGACCACAATCGTGTGACTCAAAGTCTCAAACCCACCTTTTTTTTTTTACAACCATTATGGAATAGTGAATTTAAGTAGAGAGTTAACACTTCCTCACCCTCTGTTTCCAACTTGCAGGCTTCTTCAGATTTAGTGGGGTGGGGGAGCTTTGACCTGCCCAGATTCATCTGCCCAGCTCAGCCCAAATTGCAGAAAAGCACAATCTGGTTGATTGATAAGAGAGAATTTTTGAATTCTTTCCCAGGGTGTCTTTCAGCGAAGACTGGGCACAGAATGGCCCCCGTGTGACTCAGTGATTCAATCTCTTCTCACAATTACACACATACACACACACACAAACCACTGGATCTTTTGCACTTGCATCTTTATTATGTTGTAAGTGAGACTATGGAAGCATCTTTCTGGCTGATATAAATGCACCGCTTTTATTAAGAATGCTTCCTTTATAGCGGAAGGTTACTTTGAAATATTATATTAATATATATAAAAGATTTGATTTAAGAGATACATGTATGGGGGGGCAGAAAAAGGGTAGATTATGAGCAGAAATTGCTAAACTGGGAGATATAATAATATTATTATGCTAAATTAGGAGTTATTATATAATGTTATAGTAGAATGTTATTTTGAAATGTATAGTATAAGGGGGATATAATAATATTATTAGAAAGAAAGGGTCAGTATATGGGGGATGGAGTAAGGGGATGGTAAAGTATTATATAATCTGTTATGAATTTGGGTTTTATTTTGAAGAAGCCACAGGGGGAGGGGAGGGGGAGGGGGGGTTAGGGAGGAGGGGGGAAAAAGGGGGAAAAATTTGTATTTGAAAAACTTTTTCAATAAAAAAAAAAAGAATGCTTCCTTTATTGTTATTTTCCTCCATTAGAACATTTTATCCAATTATTTATTTCTATGGAATGTTACATTTAATATCGTATCCCGGAACGAATAGAAAATCCTGTTGGTTTTTAAAGTTGCACCTGCTGTAAGAGAGGGAAATCAAAATCCATAGAAAGCCTGCACGTTTAAATATATATCGATTCAAACCATTTCTATTCTCCGATTCCACATATTTATAACTACCATTCTATTCAATAAACGTTTTTATTCTATTCTATTCTATTCTACCCACGTGATCTTTATCAAGGAAGCTATTGTCCCCATAGGGATTTTGCACCAAAAAAATAACATTTCTCGCTTCCACGCGATCTCTTACCGTTTTTATTACGAATTATTCTTGCAAGCATGATTATGGTTAATCATCGGAGCAAAAGATAACCTGCTAGACGCTGTTCTTACTAAGATTAGTTAGACGGGGGGAAAAAACTGACGGATGGAAACAGCTAGAATTACGTTTACCTTCTCCTTCCCGCCGGGAATAAGTCTAGAACGCGCTTGTCTTCTGACCATGTGCAGAGTGTCAGGGCCACACCTCGGGTTTCACAAGCCCGCGGTTTGTTTGGAATCGCTTCCCCTTTCTGCGATTCGCTGCCCTTCCGGGATCCCGCTTGTCTGGGTGGATCCCAATTGTCTGGGATTCCTTGAGGATCTGGAAGGGAAGATCAGAAAATCCTACAACCCACAACCCCGAGCTATGAATATTCTCAACCATTTTCTGATCGGAAAATCCGCCGGCGGTACTTTCCGAGCGCTGCAAAATTGCTGGTTTTTTTCGGGGACTCCTCGAAAGTTTTGGGGCGTCCTCCATCCTAGCGCGCTGGGAAAATAGGACAGAAACCAAACCAAAGTAAAATTTCCTTTCTTTCATTCCCAAAACGGGACTTTCTAAGGTAGGTCAGATCTTGGGGAAAGTTCGCGCCCCAGGGAACCGAACGTCTTTTCTTTCTTTCTTTCTTTCTTTCTTTCTTTCTTTCTTTCTTTCTTTCTTTCTTTCTTTCTTTCTTTCTTCTTTCTTTCTTTCTTTCTTTTTCTTTCTTTCTTTCTCTCTCTCTCTCTCTCTTTCTTTCTTTCTTCTTTCTTTCTTTCTTTTTTCTTTCTTTTTTAAAGAATCGTTACAACCAAGCGTGGGAGCGCGCGTAGCGGTTAATTCCTGCGAGCAATCGATTTAACGCAGATTAAGAAATTACCTTTTAAATGGGATTGTTAAACGGAGGCTTAAAAGCTACACCGAACTGTGATTGAGTCCCGAGTGGAATTCCGGACGGAAAATTATCCCGTGGCAGGATAAAAACGATTGTGCTCACCCAAGGTCGCTCACCTAAGGACATCCCGTCGGTTACCGAGTTTAAATCGGCTTTCAAATCGCGCCTTTGCTCTACTAACTAGGCAGGCCGTGAAGTAAGTAAAGTTTATAGGATGCGCTCTGTGTGAAAGGGGCAGAGAAATCAGAAATCATTTATAATGGGTGGGGGAGAAGCGGAAAAGAAGAATAAAATATGCTTGAAAAAATATGCCTTCGCCCTTCTTCTTCTTCTTCACGGTATTTATTTTTATTATTTGATTTAAATAACTGGAAAACTCAGGGATTCGGGCCCCTTCAGTCGGGCTGTTTATAGAGTAACTTGTTGGAAACTCCTCCGCATCGCTCGGCTCGCTCCTGCCCACTTCGCTTCTTTTCTTATCCCGGTGTCGGAAACCAGCCAAAAAGAAATAAAACGTCCAGAACTGTCCGGAGCTATTTTCTCTCATTGCAAAGAGCAACTTTTTTTTTTTAAAAAAAGCTCTCTTCCCTAAAAATGTACGATCAAATCATAGTTTACCTTTAATGCATTTTTTTAAAAAAAAGAATAAAATAAAAGTAAAGGAAGGTCGGGTTTATTTATTTCTTTATTTTTTAGCAGGATTCCCAAATCATTTTTAAAAAATAAATAAATAAATAAACTTGCTCTCTTTTCTGTTTGTTTGTTTGTTTCTTTATTTTATTTTTTGCAGGATTCCCAAATCATTTTTTTAAAAAAAAAAAAAATAAACTGGCTCTCCTTTCTGTTTATTTATTTATTATTTATTTATTTGGGCCGACTCTGGCTGCCAGGATCTTTCTCTTTTGCTCTCTAAATCAACTTGTTTTTTTCCCCCCTCTGGACCGATCGCAACTGGAAAGGAACGAATTGCCTCTCCTCGGAAGAAGAAGAAGAAGAAGAAGAAGAAGAAGAAGAAGAAGAAGAAGAAGAAGAGGAGAGAGGAGGAGGAGGAGGAGGAGGAGGAGGAGGAGGAGGAGGAGGAGGAGGAGGAGGAGGAGGAGGAGGAGGAGGAAGAAGAGAAGAAGAAGAAGAGGAGGGAGGAGGAGGAAGAAGAGAAGAAGAAGAAGAAGAAGAGGAGGAGGAGGAGGAGGAGGAGGAGGAAGAGAAGAAGAAGAAGAAGAAGAAGAGGAGGAGGAGGAGGAGGAGGAGGAGGAGGAAGAAGAGAAGAAGAGGAGGAGGAGGAGGAGGAGGAAGAAGAGAAGAAGAAGAGGAGGAGGAGGAGGAGGAGGAGGAGGAAGAAAAGAAGAAGTAGAGGCGTTCGCTCCCCAAGCGCCCCCCCCCCCAGTCAACCAGCCGTCTTTACGATCGCCTCCCGCTTTCCCAGCGTCCGTTTCCTCTTTTGCCCGGCTGGTCAATTTCAGCGGGTCAATTTCCCTTTAGAACGAAGGGGGCGGGGCTTCTGGGGGTGGGCGGGGCCTGTCCTCCACTCCGGGCTCTCCTGCCAGCCTTTGCCGGGGGGCCAAAAACCTCCGAGCTCACTTATCCCTGAGGACGGGAGCCGCAGCGGCGGCAGCGTCGAGGCCCAGGCGGACTTGATACCCGGCATGCGCCTGTCCGGCCGAGAGAAGAGCCCGTCCCGCCGGCTGAAGCGGGTGGCCCAACTGCCCGCCGATCTTCTCCTCTCCGGGCGCCTTCCAGCCCCGGCTGATGCCGCTTAGCCTCCTCGCACCGCCGGCCGCGCTCGAGCGGAGCCTCGTCCGTCGGGGCCCACGTTGAGCCACCGCGGCCCCCTCCCCTCTCATTTCCCCCGGTCCGAAGAGTCTCTCTCTCTCTCTCTCTCTCTCCTCCCGCCCAACTCCAGCGCCTCGGCCTTTCCCAGGCGCGGGGCGGCGGCTGGGTTGCCCCCCCACCCCCGGAGCCGGGCGGAGGCTGGTCCGCCACCCGGCTCCCTTCATGCACCTGCCGCCCCAGGACGCGCTCCTGAGCATGGGCGACGCCGGGGGCGGAGGCGGAGGCTTCTCGCTGGCTGGGCCCCTGCTCAGGAGCCCCGTGTCGGGAGGTCCCCCGTCTCGTCTCCACAGCATCGAGGCCATCCTGGGATTTACCAAAGAGGACCCCCGTTTGGGCAGCTTCCAAAGCCCCGAGGGCAACGGCCAGGGGGCCAAGCCGGGGAAGGAAGCGGCCGAGAAGACGGGCGCCGGCGGGGAAGGCTTCGCCCAAATGCCCGCCCAGGAAGCGCTGAGGCAGGAGCAGGCGAGCCCCAGGACGGGGCGCTTCGGAGGTGAGACGCGGGGAGGGGGAAAGGGGAGAAATCGTCAGTCCCTTTTCTGGCACCCGTTATTGATTTATTTATTTATTGGTTCGATTTATAATTTAATAACGAAATGACTGCAATCAAATAACGGAGTTCTGGGAGCAACCAAGGGCCCCGGATTAATTTAAAATTAATTTTAAAAATTGGATTTTTATTATTTCTTTATTGACTTATTTTATTTATTTATTAAATGTATAGGTGACCCATTTCACTCTAGGTGGGCCTACAACCTCATAAAACAACAGAACAGAACAGTTTGAAAAGTTTAGAAGGTTAAAAACAGTCAGCATTAAAAATCAGCGCTGATGATGTTACCTAGTTTGGTAAGGAAATGTCTCCAATTGAACAACCAAGCTCTGGGAGCAACCAAGGGCCCCAGATTAATTTAAAATTAATTTTAAAAACTGGATAAAAAGGAACCTATATATAAACAGGTCTCTTTTTACTCCTTCCCTGTGAACACTCCTGATTCTATGTCTTCCACTCGGGAATGAGGGATTGGGAGAGGGGGGGGGAGTTTCTGTCCACGGATTATTTATTTATTGTATTTATTTATTTATTGGTTCGATTTATATGCCGCTCTTTCTCCGGAGACTCAGGGCGGCTTACAATGCATTAAGCAATAGCCTTCATACTTTTGTATATACCTGCTTAGTAGGGCTTTGTCCCCCCCCAAGTCAGTTTATTGCCCCCACAATCTGAGTCCTCATTTTACCTACCTCAGAAGGATGGAGGGCTGAGTCAACCTTGAGCCTGGTGAGATTTGAACTCGAAGTAATTGCAGGCAGCTGGAAGCTAAGTGCTACTTAACAGCACTTTAGTCCACTGCACCACCAAGGCTCTTATGTTAAAGCTGGGATCCAGCCGAGCATCCATAATTCCCAGACCAGAATTTGGGGAGGTCAAAATGTGTGGCATCCATGGAAGTCCTTATTCAGGAGTCTTTTTAAATTCCCTTCGGTAACTGGGAAAACGATGGTTTTAATATCAGCCCCTATTTTTCTTCGCCTTTACTTATTCGCAAACATAATAAAAACACGTTAATAAGGCAATAAAATTTTACTGATGTCAAAAGCTTATTTCGGTGATGTAAGCTATAACTGTAGCAAATTTGCCTCAGCTAAACGTAAATCGCTAAAATAAGCTTTAGATCAAGTAAAAAATTTATTTATTTCTTAATATGAAATGTGAGGGCACCCACCATCTGGAACGAGCTCCCCCCAGAGATACAGAAGATTCCGGATCTGCGCACTTTCCGCCGTGCCCTCAAAACATTCCTGTTTCAGCAGGCCGGCCTGGCCTAACTTTCCCTTTATATTACTTTTTGATTTTATTTTAAACTGGGATGTCTTGAATTATCTAGGACCAGAATGTTTAGTATATTTTAATTGGGTTTTTTTATTATTAACATTTGTATTACATGTATTTTTATCGTTTGCTGTTCACCGCCCTGAGTCCCTTAGGAATAGGGCGGTATATAAATTTAATAAATAAATAAATAAATAAATAATATGCATCCCACTTATTATTACATAATATGGAAGTCCCTTAGGATCCAGGTGCATATTCCATTCCTCATGCTGAACAGCAGGGGACAAATATTAGGCTAGCTAACCTTAAGGGTTTTTGTGGGACTCATTTATAATAAAGGTGTTTTTAATTACCTTGGAAAATAGGTTAGAGATGCTTTCCAGCACCTGCGCAGTCCAGATACATTGGGACTTCACATAAAGTTCCCAACCAGGGACCCAAGAGAGTTACAGTCCCAAAGCATCTGAAGGAGGCCACTTTGAGAAAGGCATTGAGGAAGATTGATTCCCTGCCAATAAAGGAGAATAGTTGTAACTCAGGGTTGAAATGAGTTCTTGGTGCTCTCTGAGCTTGGTTGTCTAGCATTGATGCTGTTTGGGTAATGAAACTTCTGCAAGAAAACAACCAATTTCGGAGAGTATCAAGGAACCCTGTTGGAAAAATGTGATCATTTCCAAAGTAGTTTTCTTGCTAAAGACATCCTTCCATTTACAGAATAGCCTTCATGCTTTTTTTGAAACTTGCCTGGTTCTCTGGTTCTCCTGTGGGGACTGCCATCCTTATACGATTTCATCCAAAATGATCTGTCAAAAGAGCACGGAGCTGATACTCAGTATGTGGCTGATGGATCATATACCCCAAAAGACCTTGCAGTTTTAATCAGCATCATTTTTAATGGGCCACTCAGTTAAAAAAAGGAAGTGATTTTTTGGGGGGTCCTCGGAGAAGAAGTTTCTGCACTCCTTATAGGAAAGGATTTGAGGGAGCGATATATATATATAAAATAAGCGCATTCTGCATGCCCTTAGAATACCCCCTTGGCAGTAATTGGATTAATCTCTAAGATGTCGGTCAGGGCCCCCTAAATCTGTGGTTCTCAGATCCTTGGAAATGGATGAGATGGACGTATCAGTCATAACCAAAGCGACTTAGGATGCCTTGACTTTAAAGGAACATTCTTATGAGGAAGTTAGCCTTAGGATTGCACTCAGTTTCCAGTTCACATACTCCTGCTGGGCAAAGCCAAGGTCTTTTCACAATTTTGTCATGCAAACTATGCCATTCTTAGGAGTATCTGATGGACTGCTGTGAGAACCAGAAATTGGACCGATACAGGAACACACGAGGAACAAGTTTGGAGACAAGGGGTCATTATGGATAGAATGGTAGTGACAATCTTTCAATGTAAAGAAAGAAAAGAAATGACTTATGGTGTAGTGCAAGGGTCTCCAACCTTGGCAACTTTAAACCTGGCGGAGTTTAATTCCCAGAATTCCCCAGCCAGCTTTGCTAGTTGAACTCCGCCAGGCTTAAAGTTGCCAAGGTTGGAGAATCCTGGTGTAGAGTGACTGTGGGATTCAACCCTTCCTTGTTTGCTAGGGCTTCAATAGAATACTCAAGCAAAACTAGTGTCCACAACTCCCATTACATCCAAAGCAACTTACTTCTGGGTAGATTTGAGCAAGAGTGGGATGTAGGCATGTTTATCACAGTTTCAGGGAGCAGAAAAAATGAGCAGCTGTTAGTATATTATTGAATCGTTGATTTTAACATGGATGTTATGTCTTTGGAGATTCTCAGTCACCCAGGTCATGGTTGTCCCAAAATGCTTTTTCCAAAAGACAACTGGACTTCTTTGTTAGTTTGTTGTTGTTGTTGTTGTTGTTTGTTTGTTTGAAAACATTTCGCTTCTCATCTAAGAAGCATCTTAGATTCTAGCTGATTAGTGGGATATGGGAGGATTTATAAATATAAATTATATTTATAAATCCTTCCAGATATAAATTATAAATATAAATCCTTCCATTCTGCACCAGTCAGTTAGAACTGAAAAAGCTTCCTAGATGAGAAGCAAAACATTTTCAACCCCCACCCCCCCAGGATCCAATCTGGTCGTGGTGATTGCAGGATTGGATCCTGCAACATTATCCTGGGATGCGTATATTTTCCTTCATTCGTGATAACCAAGAAAGTCCGGATGCCTTTTAGACAAAGCACCATTGGGACAACGTAGAATTTCAAAATAAATCGATAAAAGAGGAAGCAAAAGCAAAGAAGTTAACATTTGCCTAATAGCAGAACAAGTTCTAGCAATACATCTTGAGAAAATGCCTGGCAGAGCTGTGCAATGATTTGAACTGAACTCCAAAAAGAGTTTGGATAGGATAGAAAAAGCACCTGTTGGCAATCCATTAAAGTAGCAGCATCCATTCCCAGTATGAGGCCATTCCTTTGGGAAAAAAGTGTGGTTGGTTAAGGAATTGCTGACACTGTGTTTGAACTCCTGCATAGCTTCAAGCAACTTCTTGAATTCAAATCCGAAGCACTGCACAGTTAATAGAAAATACACAATTTCCTCTTAGAATATCTCTATTTGGAGTGCGCACCAATAGCTAGAGACCCTCATGTAACTCTTCATGAAAGCTCTTTCAAATAAAACAAATAAGCAATTGAAGGAACTGTCTGGGGAAAAAATAAATAAAAGGATGTTGAAATCAAGAGAATTTGCATGGATATGCTCAATTTTGGTGTAAATTCACTTAAAGGTCGATCAGGCTTTCCCTACTTCTTACTTCTCAGATCCCTACTGTACCAAACATTCGGACAACTGCTTGAGCCCGGAGCTGGCTGCTTGCAACAGTGATGGCAAGCTCTTAGATGAAGACCAGCCCAAGAAGAAGCATAGAAGGAACCGTACCACTTTCACCACTTATCAACTACACGAGCTGGAGCGAGCTTTTGAAAAATCTCACTATCCTGATGTTTACAGCCGAGAAGAGCTTGCCATGAAAGTCAATCTACCTGAAGTCAGAGTTCAGGTAAAAGACATGCCCTTCCCTTCCCTTCCCTTCCCTTCCCTTCCCTTCCCTTCCCTTCCCTCCTAATGGTGATGTAATTAATTGCACCATGAAATTTTGAATAATTAACTTCTTTTTTCTTCCTTCATTAGAGCATTGCAACCCAATAGCTACCTTGCTTTACTAATCCAATTTAAAAGCACTCTCTTTTTTTGTCTTTTTGCCCCTCTGGAGTTAATTTCAGATTTGCACCCAGGTTAAATGGTTTGTAAAGGGATTTTCTCTAATCTGATTGTGTGCGAGTGTGTCTGTGTGTTCTAACATTTCAGGCTGTAATTATTAGTGTTTGGTTTCAGCACCTGTAACTTGTGGTCCTTCCACTCATGATATTACGAGCCAATAAAATCATCTGAAATCACACACGTAAAAATGCATTAATCTCTTGTTTTCCTTTCTGTAATATTCACCTTGCCCCAAATGTAAGCTTGTTCCATGTTGTTTCTGCAAATATTGGGGAATAATCATATGTATTTGGCGTGCCCTTTCCCAAGTTTCCACATTTCTGCAAGCAATTTTCAGGAAGATTTGCCTGATGCTATAAAATTACTTTCACGTTTTTTGATTCAAGAACTTCTTTGCAAAATTTGGAGAGCTATCAAAGCCCATGGATAATTGTGTTCTCATTCAGTGTTAATTTGAGCAATATAAATGAGGCTGATTTGTGTTAAAATCTGATCCAAGTGAATTTCTGCCTAGCCCTACTGTAAACTGATGTGTTTATTCATTCACTGGAACCTATAAATCCAGGGGTGTAAGGAAAGGTCCAGAAATGGAAGATAGATAGAAGTTTAATGAATTACTTTTTAAATTATAATACTATACTGTAGAAGACAGCATGATTTAGTTGATACCCCACCTTCGTTTTCAGTGCTTCATTCCTTTAGCTGTTATTTTTCCCTGCAAACTTCAAAAACAAGATGCCCCTTTCTTCCAAATAAACACTTTCAAATTTGTTTGGGATTTACTTGAAGGAAGTTATGTAACTATTTATGGGAATTTTGAAGCTGAAATTAAATAAAAGAAAACAAGAGTGTACTTTAATCACTTACATTATATGGGACACATTTTCTTTCATATCTCATAAAAAGTAATTGCAATGTAATGAACAAGGATAAAACTATCACCCTTTGTATGTTAAAGCAAATGCACTTGTGCCCTTGGTACGAGTCTTTGAACTGCTTGATCAAATCCCAAATAAGTCATAAATTAAACCATTAAGTCAAGCTAGGGTACTTAATCATTGTGCTTAGCCGGTAACTTCAGTGATCTGGGACAACTGTTCCTTCTTTCCATCAAAATTGGCATTTTTATTTATGTAGGACAGCCCATAGACTGACAAAGAGAAAGCATCAAGTACATAGAAGTGTATTGTCCAGCTGTTAAAGCTGTAGGACAATAGGCATTTATAATGCTAACAGCTCTGTGTCAACAAATATGGAACAAGACTGCCTGACCTAGAGATTGGAAATCAATTTTGCATGATATACTGTAAAGATGAATAGATGCCTTCCTAGAAAAAGAAATGCCTTATAAACATACAGAGAGACATTATATCAGATTACTAATGTAACATAACTTTTTACTAATGTAATATGATTTGTAATCTCTTCATTTGGGGTAGAGTCGGGACAACTGAATGGAGCTGAGCATTTACTAGCCAGATGCCCTTTCTAATGTAATTGGGTGGGCAAAAATATGTAAGAATGGGGTCTTATGTTTGCATTACACAGGACAACAAGACTTGGAGAATTTCACTTTTTAAAAATATTTATTAAATATTGTAAGTGCAATGGTAAAAACTAATACAATTAAAAGAAGGGAAAAATGTAGAAAGAGTAAAAAGTGGAAAGGAAAAAGACGAACTAGAGAATAGAAAGAAAAAAGTAATAATATAGTTAAAAAGAAGGAAAAATATATAAAGAAGTTATTTCCAACTTTCATCACAAGAATTATAAACAATTTTAGGAACTTTTCACCTCCTCTTAATTTGCAACTAATGATTTCTTGATCTCACGTCCCACCTCTTCTCTCTAAACAAATCCATAAAACCTCACCATTTCAGTTTTGGTATCAGCAAAAATCCATTAAGGATTGCCAGAAATAATAGCTTATTTATTTAACCTTGGTCAAATAAATCAACTTTATATACCTTCCTTTTACTTCTAACAATCTTAATCTTTAGTCCATTCAAATCATGTAAATAGAACTTGATTTCTTTTAACTTCTTTTTTACCTCTTCTCTCAAGAGTCATCCAAGTTCAAACTTTAAAAAATCTATTTTGTATATCCAGTGTAAAAGAATTATTCGGGTCATTGTCTTGGTTTATTACTTGTTACTTCTATTTTATTTTTAAAGCATCGATCGATTTCTTTGTACACCCAATTAAACATCTTTTCCATATCATTCTTGGAGCTTGTCATTGCTAGATCCACTTTCAATGTCAACTCTTTCTCTGGCTTGTCAGATAAATCTTGCTTCCCTTTTGCCATTTCTTCCAAAACATATTTTTGCTACATTGTCTCCATATCTAAATCTATTATGGAAGAGGCAGGATTGGAAACAGTAACAGTTCGAATTAAAATTGGAGATCAAAACACAACTGAGATATGTGGCTCATACCGTTTTATGAGCTAGACCTACGGAAGAATTCGAAGAGCTCATTTAAAAAAGTGAAAAATCCAGGATAAGGTTAAACAGTGAAGACAAAAGGAAAAGCAGGAAACATGTTACCTATTTAATGAAAAATGGGTTTATAAACTAAGACACATTATAAAAGAAATTTTTGTGGGACAGAGGAATGGCCACTGTCAAAAAACCTCAAACATGGATTTAAATAATGTTGCTTAAAACCCAAAGTAGGTTTGAAATGCTTCAGCCAATATGTAATTCAGGATGTACATCCTTATTTGTTGGGGCAATGGATATGGTACAAAATAAATGGGAGCATGATTATTTGTCTTTCATAAATTTTATGGGAAGGAGTTTTTTTGGGGAGGGTGTTCCCTCCTTTTAATCTTAATCTTAAGCATGACAGTGTCATGAGTTTCCTGATCAAAAGTGGTAGGAAGTCTTGTGAACAATTTCCTAGATGAAAATTGTTTTCACACAGGCTATTTAATTATGGGATAGCGAGTTACTTTCTCTTCAATTGGGCACTTTAGTTTTTGATTATAGTATTAAAAGAGCTCGTACAGCATGGAGTCACTTCTTAATAAGTAAATCATTTGTTCTCTTTTTTGGTCCTACAAAATAATTTTTCTGCAATGTTACCTCCATGCAATAGACTTTTGTGGAACTCAGTAATTAAGCAAAACTCTTCAAATTAAGTATACCTAGAATTCCAGTGATTTAAAGCAAAGCTTTACAAAGCTGTAAGTCACCGAGGACTCTCGGTGACTTACCAAACATAAAATTTAAAAACATAAAGCAAGACAATCTGGATTAAAAACAACCATTAAAACAGTCCTCCCCACCCCCATATTAACCCCAGGTATGGGACCAAAGCCAAATTTTAAGAGTCTTTTGGAGCCCCAAGAGTTTATGAATATTAATTACTTGTTCTCTCTCTCTCTCTCTCTCTCTCTCTCTCTCTCTCTCTCTCTCTTTCTCTTTCCCCCCATCTCTATCTATCTACCTATCTATTTATCCATCTATCTATCTATCCATCCATCCATCCATCCATCTCTATCTATCTATCTATCTATCTATCTATCTATCTATCTATCTATCTATCATCATGTTGCACCAACATGTTGCATTTCCTGCTTTATGGCAAATGTAATATAGGGCATTTTCCCACCAAACTTCTCAATTAATTAAAATGTTTGATGAGAGAGACCCAGGTTTCAATCATAAGCTTATGTATTTGGGACATCATTTAGGATGGCTCTTCAAAAGGGAAAAACATTGACGGTGTTTATTTTATTTATTTATGTTTCATATTTCTAAGCAGCCCATCTCCCTCAGAGAGGGAAACAATGTTGTCCACTAAAGCTATTGCCAATTTGTCATTTTTATTTTAATGTGATGGATGTTTGTTAAATATATATTCTGGGGTGGGGGAAGACTCCTATTAACCAAAATGCAATAAGAAAATTTTTTAAATAATATGGTTTAATCAAAATTTAAATAAAACGTCAGTCTGACTGAAATACATTTAAAGCTTTTTCTTTCTAAGCTTGACCTTTTTTTTCTTTTTTCTTTTAAACAAGTTTTATTAATTTTTTTCTTTTACATACATATTTTAATGAACAGAGTATTGACTGGGTCACATCTTATCAACTTATAACATAGTTATGTGTTAATTTTTATAATCTATTCCAATCTTTTTTGTTTTTTCCAAATGCAATTTACATATTTCAATTTCTGCCACAATATTCTTTTTCCCTATTTTTTTATCTTATCTTAATCTCTTCTTCACTTGACCTTCTTATAGGCACGCAATCCTTAGCACACTGGTCTAAGCAGTGAGCATGGATTTTAAGTCTTCTAAAGTTTGTTCACCCCAGTTTGGGTTCATGCGTAATATTCTCTGTGGCTATGCACAACACTGCAAAATCACACACACACATCTGATCTCCATCAGTGCTCATGGCAATTTATAAAATATAAGAGGACAAGACTTCGTCCTGAAGTTTTTACACTCTAGAATTCACCCCTAGATAGACAGCATATAAAGAGATGAGAAATAAGGAATAAAGAAGGAAGAACATGTTTGTTTCAGTATCTTCAGTTATTTGTAATTGTGCATGTTTGCAATGGAAGTCAGGAACAAAGGATTAGGATGCTCTTCTACTTTCTCTCCTTCTCCAATTAATCCAGAAATGGCATTAAATAATCAACTCACCATCAAAAGTGATCGGTGTAATATTTTTTTTAAAAAAAGAGAATAATTACTGGAAATTTTTTTATAAACCTTACAATTCCAAAACCATTTACCAAAGTTACTTACTGTTGAGATGAGCGGCTATATAAATCAGATGGATGGATGGATGGATGGATGGATGGATGGATGGATGGATGGATGGATGCGATAGATAAATGATAGATAGATGGATGGATGGATGGATGGATGGATGGATGGATAGATAGATAGATAGATAGATAGATAGATAGATAGATAGGAGGGAGGGAGGGAGAGGGAGAGAGATACTGTAGATATAGATAACAAAATATTACTCCAAAAAGTTCTTCCTTGAATCTCTGGGTTGGGAGAAACTTGATGTCTTAAAGGTTACTCCTAAAAGTACAAGAAGTTTTTAAAGATAGGAAAGAAGTTCACATTTCCATAAATTACACTCTGAACTACTAAGTGCATACAATTTAGATTAGACAATGGATCATTCAGAATTTCCCTTTCCTCCAGTCCAAAAGTTCACTAGAGAAACTTGGATATCTTATTGTCTCTCTCGTGATGATTCATGGATATGCCCTAAAACACTTGGGAGAGGAACAGTTGTATCTTCTCGCTTTATCAGTTAAAAATGAAGTCTCCCTCAGGTTTACCTCAGCTCTTGGGGCTACATACTGTATTTTTTTTTTAAAAAAAAGCCCTTTCTTCTCTCTCTAACACCCTTGTTCTCAACGTTTGTGGCATGAGGGACCTGTTTCATGGAAGACAATTTTTCCACGGACTGGGGGGTGGGGAGGTTGGGGCGGGGAAGGAGGAGGAGCGCACAACCTCACATGCAAAGTTTACAGTAGGGTTTCCACTCCTATGAGAATCTAATCCCATCTTTTAAATTTTTTAAATTTTTCAATTTGTGATTTTATAAATTGGGTGTTTTAATCTGTGTTTCGGCCGAAATATTTAATAATTTTAAGGGATTTTTTAATATTTGTATTATCTGTATTTTATCTTGGCTGTTCACCGCCCTGAGTCCTTCGGGAGTAGGGCGGTATAGAAATTTGATTAATAAATAAATAAATAAATAAATAATCCCTGATGACCTGAGGTGGAGCTGAGGCAACCATGCTAATGTTGGAGAATGGTTGTAAATAGAGATGAAGTTTTGCTCACTTGCCCACTGCTCACCTCCAGCTATGCAGACTGGTTCCTAAAGGCCATTGACCACTACCAGTCTGAGGCCCAGGGGTTGGGGGGCCCTGCTCTAACACAGGGGTCCCCAACCAGGGGTGGGCTGCTGGGGGTTTGCAGGGGTTCAGGAGAATCTCTAGCTAAGATTCTGTACAGTTCGGAGAATCCACAAATCCCACTCCTGGCTGGCCTTGCCCACGCTACCCCGCCCCTCCCAGGATTTCCCACGTGGCCCGTTTTGGATGCAGGTAAGTGCAGAGGCTTGGGGAGGGTGAAAAACGGCCTACCAGAAGTTCAGGAAGGCCAGAAACTGGCCCATTTCTGGCCTACAGAAGGCCTCAGGAGCCTGGGGGAGGCTGTTTTTGCTCTTCCAGAGGCTTGAGGAAAGCCTCGGTAGCCCAGGGAGGGCAACCCACCCCTGCCATAGTGCAGGAGGTTGACTAGGCCACACCCATCATGGCCACGCCCATCCAACAACTGGGCAGAGAACCCCTTACTAAAAAATTTTCAAGTCCCCAACCACCAGTCTGTGGACCAGTACCCAGCAGAAAGCGGGCTGCACAAACAAGTAAAGACCCATCCATAGGATGCAGGAAGCACATGAAACCATGCCCCTTCCGGTTCACGGAAAACCTCTTTCCACGGAACCTGCCCCTGGTACCCAAAAGGTTGTGGACCGCTGCTCTAACATACACACCGTCATAGTAACAACAATATCAGTACGTAGCACTATTTTATGACATGAATGGCATCCTTCTCTGGCATGTGACTCATTCTGAATTCTGCTTCCCTAGGTTTGGTTTCAGAATCGGAGAGCGAAATGGAGGCGTCAGGAGAAGCTGGAAATGACCTCCATGAAGCTGCAGGATTCGCCCATCCTCTCCTTCAACCGCTCTCCTCAACCTTCTGCCATTGGGACTATTGGTAGCAACCTGCCCTTGGAATCATGGCTCAGCCCACCCATGTCAAACAGTAGCCCCCTCCAAACTTTGCCTGGGTTTGTGTCCTCCCCGCAGAGCCTCCCTAGCAGCTATACCCCTCCTCCTTTCCTAAACTCTCCCCCCATGGGACACACTTTGCAGCCCCTGGGGGTCATGGGGCCACCACCACCTTATCAATGTGGGACGAACTTTGTGGATAAATTCCCATTGGAAGAAGTGGATCCCCGGAATACCAGCATTGCATCATTAAGGATGAAAGCGAAGGAGCACATCCAGTCCTTTGGCAAACCGTGGCAGACAATCTGAACTATGTTTGGAAGAGGCCTCATTTCTTACATCTTCTGTTGGACAGATAAAGAGGACCATTGTTCTCAAGAGTGAATTTCAGGGTAGAAGTAAAAGGAACGCTCAACAATTAATCAGTGGAACAACTTGCCTCCAGACTTGTTCCATCACTGGAAGTGTTTGAAGAAGAGATTGGACAACCATTTGTCTGAAATAGGAGTTCCTGCTTGAGCAGAGGGCTAGACTAGAAGACCTCCAAGGTCCCTTCCAACTCTGTGATTCTGACAAGCCATCAGTTGCCTCCTCCCATTTCCCTAGTTAGTTCTAGGTTTCCTTTGGATGGGATTGTAGGGTTTTGTTTTTTTTTAAATGATCTCATCATTTGATATCTTGGCTGGATAAAACAAAGACAATTGTAACTTTCCTAGGTGAATTTTGTAAACATTAAAGCACAGATATTTTTGCATTATAGTTTAAAATGGTTGACTTGTGTCTGAAATCATAACTGAATATGTTATAATGTAACACATTCTACAGTTACATAATTTCTTCAGTAGCTATTAGCTAACTAACATTCATTGGAAATACTTTTATATATTCTTAACAACTTGTCTGGTGTTAAATACCAGTGATACATCATCTTATAAAAAAATTATTTTAAATTATAATTTAGTATAAATTTTAAATATTTCGTCCACATGTTCTCCCATTGTTCAAGCATTATATTATATCCAAAGTTCCTTGCTCACTTAATCATACAATGCTTTACATATTCATTTTCCAAATCCAAATTTAATAATGTTTTATAGCCCTTAGCAAATAATATGTTCACCACTACCACACAGCAGGATTTCCAATTCATATTAAAGTCAAACCCATAACTCTTTGTCTAATTTACATCTTTCTTTCATTGTAAATGGCAATCATCCTTCTGATTCTAGCTCTTCTTTAGACTTGAGGCTAGGATCACCAAAATTAAAAGATATTATTTGACCATAAGTCCACCAGTTCAGCTTCACTGCTGTTTCTTTTCTGAAAAAAAGCTTCCTGGGAGGACCCCCAAAGAGGCATCTTCATAGAAAACCTTGTTTATTTCAAACACTTAGAATGGCACATCTAACGAAGTGATTGTTAAAATCAACATTTACTTTAACCTTGTCATACCATAAATAACCGTGCTATCCAAATCTTAGTTCATGCTCTTCTAACTCAAGTAGCCTTTTAGTCTGAAGTAGTGGGTAACTAACTACTAATCTAGGATAGTAGTCTCTAAAGTGGGGTCCACACACCTCAGCAAAAGACAAGTTACTTGTGTGTAGAAAGTAAACATCATTATTATTATTATGGTTCCCACTGCATTCTCTTTTTTTATTTAAAAAGTGTTTTTATTTTATAAACAAACAAACAAACAATACATAATTATTCAGTCTATCTGAATACATCTTTTGTGTCTTCTTACTCCTCCAGTATTTATCATATCTTAATATTATCATTTCATTTATTATGACATTTCCCCCACATTTCTTACTTCTCTATTAATACATTTATCTATCTTTTTATTTTATTAAAAAATTATACAACAATTTTATCCCCACACAACCTTCAACCCCCCCCTCCGCACGCCCCCCCCAACTTCCCAGAGCAAAAACAGGGTATAACATTTAACAAACATAAGCTAAAATATGCTAACTTACTACAAGATTCAAACTCCCTCACGCTCTTTAACTCCCCTTTTAAAAATTATTCATCAACCTTCCTTTTATAAATTCTCTTATCACATTTCACATTTGTTACTAAAATCCTTTCCATACCTTCTTTTTCAGCATTACTCCCTAATAAAATTCTAAATTAAACATTTATCCTCTTTGGTCATTCATAAACCACTTGCCAATTAGGTTTCTCGATATAACCCTTTCTTTCTTTCTTTCTTTCTTTCTTTCTTTCTTTCTTTCTTTCTTTCTCTCTCTCTCTCTCTCTCTCTCTCTCTCTTTCTTTCTTTCCTAATGCAAATAATATAAAGCTCCCTCTAACACCAAACAAAATCCAGGTAGAGTTATTCCGAGCTTCTTTCTCATGTCTTCCACTTTCTCAGGTATTATTTCTCATTTTTCTTCTAACAGTTCATCCATTCCTTCATCCCACCTCCCCATTCCTTCATACATCCTGAACTCTCTTCCACCTTCTTCCCGCTCAATCCTTCTAATCCCTAGTAAAGCACTGGACCGGAGGTTCAACTTGTCTCTCTCATCACTCAAGGATGCCTTGTTTGTAATCCTCTCTGTCTCTCACCCAGAGAAAGGATCTCCTTTTTCTTCCTTCCACAAAAGTCCAATCACTCCCCTCTTATTCCTTATTTTAATTGTGATGCTTCTGACAAGAATAAACAAGCAGCCCTCTCTTTTGGGGGGGGGGGTCTCCCAGTCTCGCCTTCTATTGACTTTCCTTCTACTTCTTCCACCATCCCACACATGGGTGGGCTGCTGGGGTTCGGGAGAACATCTAGTTAAGATTCTGTGCAGTTTGGAGAACCCCCAAATCCTCCTGTCTGGCCCCGCCCACCCTGCCCCGCCCCTCCTAGGAGTCCCTCACACAGCCTGTTTTGGATGCAGATAAGTGCAGGGTGTGCGTGGAGGCTCAGGGAGGGTGAAAAATGGGCCTACTGGAAGTTCGGGAAGGCCGGAAATAGGCCCGTTTCTGGCCTCCAGAGGGCCTCCAGAGCCTGGGGAGGCCGTTTTCAAGGAAAGTCTCTGGAGCCCGGGGAGGGCAAAAATGCCTCCCCTGCTGTGGTGCAGGAGGCCAATTAGGCCACGCCCGCCATGGCCACGCAGCAACCTTTCTAAAATTTTTGAAGCCCACCCCTGCCTACACACTATAAAGATCAGCTGATGCATAAAATCAACCCCAGACTAAATCTTGGGGCACCTCACATGTAAAAAACACAACATGATGGTGCTCAATCACACGGCCATGGATGCCATCTTTTTTTTTAAATCCCCTCTCCACAGATGCTCCTAATGCAAGTGATTCTTAGCTGTTCAAATCCAAGAGCCAGCTTTCAGATTCCCAAATGAATCTTGAGATGTATATTAAAAGTAACTCCCAGATATGAAAAAGTCTACCTTTATAATCAGTCATTGTTACTTGGGCGTGAAAACGTTGGTGTGCTGGGAAGTGGTCTATCACAGGGATAAGGTAAGCACAATTAATAAAGATAATGGTAAGGAGATAAGGGGATTCTTTTTTTTTAAATGTGTAATTAATGCAGGCCTTTTGACTCCAAGCTTTTAATCTCCTATAAATGGCATTCCAAGGAATTAAAGAAGTAGCAACTTGGCTGACCGCAGAAAGTTGTTTGGGAAAAAAGAAAGGTTTGGGGACAAAAACAACTTTTAGTTGAAACTGGTTGGGCTGACTTAAATCAGGGATATTTAATGCCATGTTCCTTCAGCTATACCTACAGTTTTAATTAAAGACATTTTAAAAATGTAAATTTTTGCAAATTTCATCTCAGTCTAGGCCCGTAAGAACAGGCAGAGGTTACATTAGACTTTAGAGCATCTTAATAATATCCAACCGATATTATTAATAATAATATTATTTACACTTGTTCACAAGAGAAATTCCTAAAAACTCAGAAACAGGAGTCACTTTTATGAGGATTAACCCATCCTCTCCCAAAGCCATCACGACTTGTTCAACAAAGCGTTTTGCATTTAAATATATATACATATAGAAATATATATTTCTGCATATATATTTTTTTACCCTTTTCCTGTTTCCCATTTGCTTAACATCCCACTTGGTTCAGCACCTGAAAACAGCTCTATTTTAAGAAGAAGAATCAGGCTGCACCCAAGAGCAGAAAAATGCGCTCTTTGTCTAGCATTTTGGAGACAAGAATCTGCATTTTGTATTTTAACTCTTTGAATAAAAATAAAAATAAAAATTTGGAGGAAAAATAATTGAATCTGCCAAAAATACACCCTGCCTCCCTGCCTGCCTGCCTTCTTCTGTAGGCCCAACCTTGTGATTTAGAAACTCTGTGTTTTACAATTCCCTCCCATTATCTCTGTTACCACATTTAATGGGTCCGGAACACTGTTAACTCAAACCTTCCCCTGCATTGCCCATCCACTCATCCTTCCCTCTCTCTTTCTCTCTCTCTCTCTTTCTCTCTGTCTGTCTTTTTTTCAAGCGAATGGGTACTTTTGCAGGCATTCTGGAAATTGTGGCAATTAACGCTTCTCATTAGGGAGAGAAGCCGGGCTCACAAGGCCCTGCATTGTTTCTCAGGGATGGGGAGGGCTCCATAAAGAGTGGGGGGACTTCTCCATTCAGCATTTCCCACTCATTGTGGTCAGACAAAGGGAGGCTTCTAATTATATTTTCACAATCTGTGCGTATCTTGAAGGGCCCCTGTCAAAAACAAGCCCGTCATCTTTGTTCAACTTTCATTCAGGGACCTTTTTAACCTTAGCAGTTTCTCTCAACATCCCTGCCCAAAAGAGGCCTGGAAACAATGGGGCTTCCATTTATCGATTAGAGAACTTCTCGGGCCCATCATAATGAGAATCACTGTATTTTGAAAACAGTCCCCTTCGCTCTCCTTTCCCCTTCCAAGCACTTCGGTCTTCTCTTTTCTCCCTGTAACCAAGTCGACCAGCTCAAGCCGCGGGGCAGACAATGCATTGTTTGGGATGGTTTGGAAACACACAGGGGGGAAAAAACAACAACAACAAGCACCCGGCGAAGGACTTGAAAAAGGAGTAAGTACCCTTTCGAAATGGAGATGCAGGGAAGCCTAGTGGTTAAGGAAATTCTGGGCTCAGCGCCTCGCTTGACCACAAAACTCAAGGGATCATGTTCGGCCAGGCTCTTTTCATCCAGAAGATGAGGATCGTGCATTTTTTTTTTTCAAAAAAAGAAAGCAGTAAGACTCTGTGAATGAGATGGGTGGTACCTAAATTTGGCAAATAAATACATAAATGAATGAATGAATGAATGAATGAATGAATGAATGAATGAATAATAAATAATTTGGTCACACAGTTTCCAATGCCCTTTCGACTATTGTTGACTCTCTCAAAGGACATACCTCAAAGCAGTGAAGGGGGAAAAATTCATAGAGATTCTGGCATTCTCTGCAACAGAGCAGCCTAATAATTTTACACAAAGCTGCAAGGACTCCACAAAAAAAAAAAAAGAGCCACAATGTACAACAGTATGCTTCCAAAGAACAGCTTTAGGGCAGGGGTTCCCAACCCTGGGCCCACGGCCCGCTACTGGGCTGCGGCCTATTTGCAACTGGGCCACGTGAGTGGTGGACTGGCGTGAACACACACACACACAGAGAGAGAGAGAGAGAGAGAGAGTTCAACCTGTGCAAGTTGAGCTGCCACCGCTCACACAAGTTGAGTTGCACGCCCACATGCGTGCCGGCCTGATGCTCACACGCCCCAGTTCCCCTCTGT